CCCTTTATGAGTCGTGGAAAACGTGTCCATCCAATGCCAACTGATCCTTCAATGACTTGTGAGTTATATCATACAATTGGTAGAATGTATGAGAACTTGTAATTTAATTTCGAAAGATATTTGAAGTACATCTGAATTTGTCTGTTAAACATCATTCTATTTGAGCACTTAACATAGTTTGTGTTTTTGATATCACAGTACCACCTAGACCAATGGATCCTAAAAAGATTGACAGTGTACGGGATTGGAACTGTTGCATGGAAGAGAAGAATGGAGGATTGGAAGAATAACAGAATGAGAAACTCCAGGTGGTTAGGCATGAAGGAAACAATGGAGATGAGGATTCTGATTTGCCTATGTACGTTCATTTATTCTCTGAAATTCTTTTTGGTTGTCTGTGCATGTTTAAGTCTAGAAGCTTGTTATTGCAACTGTTTGTTTAGATTCCTCTCCTTTTTCGGATTGAAAAAAAATTGTAGAAACTGTCAAGTGATTTGGAAGAAGACCTTGCTGCTCCATCTAGAGCTTGAACTGCTAATCATTTGGTTATTTACGGTTAATACATATGCATGGTTGCTGCTTTTCTCTACAGCCAATACTCTTTCCCCGCTTTCTTTTCTAATGAGAAATGATGATTTTTTTGTAGGCTCTACAGTTCATATCCTTTTTGCATATATGTTACTTCCGTTTTGCGATGCGAGCAAATGAATGCACCGTTTTTCATTGTTGAAAAAGTTTTTTATACTATATTTTAGGTCTATGCATCATACACTGTAGGCGAATCTTTACGGATTCAATAACACCCGCTTTTTCACATGCACGACTAAAAGTTGTAAATTTATGTGTTGTTATAGGATGGATGAAGGCAGGCAACCACTTTCAAGGAAACTACCAATACCCTCCAGCAAGAAATCCATACAGAATAATAATCCTACTCCGGCTTGCCATCCTGATTCTGTTTTTTCACTACAGAATTGCATCCGTGAATGATGCTTATGTTCTCTGGCTTATTTCAGTCATTTGTGAAATATGGTTTGCTGTATCATGGATATTGGATCAGTTCCCGAAATGGTACCAATCGAACGGGAAACATACCTTGATCGTTTAGCATTGAGGTGATTTCATCTTCATTTCTCCTCTTCCCTTCCCCACTCTTTTTCTTTGTATCTGGTTTCCTCTCTCTCCTTGCCTCTGTACTCACACTAAACTTCTCTGCATATCAGAGGGGGAATTCAGTTAGTTATTTTTAATTTTATTTTATTATTGGTTTTTCTCCCATTTTTTAAGGTATGAGAAAGAAGGGAAGCCATCTGAGCTAGCTTCTGTGGACGTATTTGTGAGTACAGTTGATCCGATGAAGGAGCCACCGCTTATCACTGCAAATACAGTTCTGTCTATCCTTGCGGTAGATTATCCTGTTGATAAGGTAGCTTGCTGTCTCTGACGATGGTGCTGCCATGCTCACGTTGAGGCTCTATCTGAGACATCTGAATTTGCAAGAAAATGGGTACCATTTTGTAAGAAGTTTAGCATTGAACCTCGTGCACCGGAATGGTATTTTGCTCAGAAAGTTGACTACTTGAGAGATAAAGTAGATCCAACATTTGTTAGGGAACGCCGGCCATGAAGGTTTGTAACTTTTTCGTAATATTAATATGTTTGCTGCTGCTAAGCATCTGCCATTTGACTAGCTTACCTGCATACTGCATGAAAGAACCAAGTGTCAACTGAGAGATCGCATTACTTAAGCATAAAATTTTAGCAGGCAGAGAGGCTGTTAAGCCTCCGGAAAAAGAAAACATCAACTATATAACTGCTATTTCTTTATTTTTATGCACGGCATTTTGTTCGTAAAACGGATTATCCAATGGTTTCAAGACAGATGTTTCATATCCGGTGTTGCTAATTTGTTGATACAGAGGGAATATGAAGAGTTCAAAGTTAGAATAAATGGTGGTTGCAATGGCACAAAAGGTTCCAGAAGATGGTTGGACTATGCAGGATGGGACTCCATGGCCGGAAACAATGTCAGGGACCATCCTGGAATGATCCAGGTGCGCTGTTTTTCTTTAAATGCTGTTTGGGATTATGTTTAGATGCTATCCAGCCCCATACTATTTGCAGTATGCATTAAATGGTAAACATTTATTCTTTGTTTTAGGTTTTCCTTGGACATGATGGTGTTCGTGATCTTGAAGGGAATGAATTACCTCGTCTAATTTATGTTCTCGTGAAAAGAGACCCGGTTTTGATCACCACAAGAAAGCTGGGGATGAATGCTTTGGTATATCCCTCTCTTCTCTCTATCTCAAGCATGCAGCTGGCATGTCCTTTGATCTGTCAGTTCTGTTTTTATCTTGTAATAATTTTTGGCGGATTTATGAAGGTGCGTGTTTTCTGCTGTCATCTCCAATGCTCCTTTCCTACTAAATGTTGATTGTGATCACTACATAAACAACAGCAAGGCTCTTCGTGAAGCCATGTGCTTCATGATGGACCCTATTTCAGGAAAGAAAATCTGCTATGTCCAGTTTCCTCAAAGATTTGATGGCATTGACCGACATGATAGATACTCAAACCGAAATGTTGTCTTTTTGATGTAAGTATGATTGTCGAACTTCAATTTTGTGGATACCTTTATTTGTAAAAGGAGATGACATTGTTACTTTTTGTTTTCCAAAAAACAGATCAACATGAAAGGCCTGGATGGGATTCAAGGACCTATTTATGTTGGAACTGGATGTGTCTTCAGGAGGCAGGCACTCTACGGATACGATGCCCCTGTCAAGAAAAAGCCTCCAAGAAGGACATGCAATTGTTTGCCAAAATGGTGCTGCTGCTGCTGTTGCCGATCTAAAAAGAAGAATAGGAAATCGAAGTCCGATAAGAAGAAAAATGAGGTTCCAAAGCACCAACTCTAGAGAACATCGAAGAGGGAATTGAAGGTAATTATTGTTCTTCTATTTGCTTCCAGTATGCAGCTGCAAAATCTTGGAATATTCTTCCTTCAGACATTTTGTCCGCATCAGAGTTTGGTCTTTGATATTTACATATAAATTTTTGCAAACCTAGAATCTTTCAATTATTTTAGGGCCTTATCATTTATAGTGCCATCGTTGTGTCGTAGGTATAGATAATGAGAAGTCGGCCCTTATGCCACAAATCAAATTCGAGAAGAAATTCGGTCAGTCACCTGTTTTCATTGCTTCAACACTTATGGAGGATGGGGGAATCCAAAGGGAGCAACCACTGCATCACTCTTGAAAGAAGCAATTCTGTCATCAGCTGTGGTTATGAAGATAAAACAGATTGGGGAAAGGAAGTATGTCGAAACTGTCCCACACTTAATAAATTAATTGTCTTTTGATTTGAATGATTGAATTTTGATTGATACTCGTCAATTCCTATCATCAGGTGGGATGGATATGGGTCCGTTACCGAGGATATATTAACAGGCTTCAAGATGCACTGCCATGGCTGGCGATCAGTGTACTGCATGCCAAAAAGGCCAGCATTCAAAGGTTCAGCTCCTATTAACCTCTCAGATCGTCACCAGGTTCTACGTTGGGCTTTGGGATCTGTTGAAATTTTCTTGAGCAGGCATTGCCCATTATGGTATGGGTATGGTTGTGGATTGAAATCCTTGGAGCGCTTTTCATATATGGCTTCTGTTGTGTACCCTTTGACGTCAATTCCACTGCTCGTATATTGTACACTGCCGGCTATCTGTCTTCTCACTGGAAAGTTTATTGTCCCTGAGGTAATTCTGAATTTCTGAGTAGCATATCTTTCTAACATGCATACTTCGTAATTATTTTGGATCAATTATTTAAAACAATCAGCTAGGACTAGTCATTTTCAAAACTGTTTGTAGGACGCTCTTTGTCACACTCAAGTTGTAGAACAGCTCATATGATATCTGGAAGCATACTTATAAGCCTGTCCTATGCAATCTATATGAACAACACCTCCATTTCGGCTGTAACTATAATATCGTTGAATTTTGCTTGATATACAGAGGGAATTACAAATCTGGATACTGCATTTTACCTGGCTTTGTCAAATTTTTAGCTAATACGGGTTTTTCTATTTGCAGATTAGTAATTATGCGAGTCTCCTTTCATGTCTCTCTTCATCATAGCTGTGACTAGTATACTAGAAATGCAGTGGGGAGTGGAATACACTGGTGGAGAAATGAGCAGTTCTGGGTGATCGGTGGCGTCTCATCACACCTATTTGCGCTCTTCCAGGGCCTGCTTAAGGTTTAGCAGGTGTTAACACAAACTTCACTGTTACATCAAAGGGAGGAGATGATGGGGAATTTTCGGAGTTGTACGTATTCAAGTGGACATCTTTGTTGATTCCTCCCATGACATTGTTGATCATCAACATAATCGGAGTCATAGTTGGGATTTCAGATGCCATCTCAAATGGATACGACTCGTGGGGACCCTTATTTGGTAGGCTGTTCTTTGCGCTCTGGGTCATCGTTCATCTTTACCCCTTCCTCAAGGGTTTGATGGGGAAACAAGACAGGCTTCCCACCATTATTGTGGTTTGGTCAATACTTTTAGCATCAATTTTCTCTCTTTTGTGGGCTCGAGTAAACCCGTTTATATCGAAAGGAGGCATTGTTTTAGAAGTGTGTGGGTTGAACTGTGACTAAAAATACAATAAAAGGAGGAGAAAGGAGTAAAAATAGATGTCCTGTGTTCAATGAAGAAAGGATTTGTGAAAATTGCATAAATCTGCTGTGTTTTTGGTTGAAGATGAAGGCGACATCCTGCAATAACATGTTTGTCCTCATGTAAGATGTAAAAGGTGAGCATAAGAGGAAGTCATGTTGTAAGGTGCTTGTAGATGCATATATCGAATTGTGATCCTATTTGTTGGTGTTGAGTTTTACTCCATTTTGATTCTTTATATACTTTGTGGGTCAGAAGGTATTGATTTCATAAGGTCCTTTGTAATCTCTTAATAAGATAATAAAACCTGTAGTTTTTATCCATAAATGCCATGAATTATGGGTATAATTGCAAGTCACACGCCAAGTCCACAAACATTACAAAGTTCTCACAATTCTACAAACAAATAATGCATGAGATATGCCTATATTGTACATAGCAAACTGCGTTAATGCCTGCCTATTGTCATGGAAAAGTCACTGTTCTAATGGAACATTCATAAAGAAACAGTTGGGTCTAATACTGAGTTTCAGATGCGCCCAAGTGGCAGCCTCAGCTTGGATGTTTTAGGCGTTGTTCGGTTGGCAATTTGCTCCCTTTTGCTGCTACGTTCGTTCTCCTTCATGTCATGAAATATCGGTAGCTTTGGTGTTCTTTGAATCAAACCAGGCTTGCTCTTGCTTTTCATTATGGAAGAAATAAATTGCTTAACCGGCACACTCTTTCTCCGTTCCTTTTCTGCAGTTGCATTTAGCAAATTTAGTTCGGTTCTGAAGGCTGCTGCGTTTTCACCACCCTCACCTGCAACGAAATTATGCGCCAAAAACATTATGTTTGGCAGTAAAAAAATTAATGTTTTCTGCATGTCACTGCCAAACATAATGTTTTTTTTTGTGCCTGGTGGTAATTAGCGTCCAAAATTAACTGATTAACCTTTGCCAATTTCTGAACCCTTTAAAAGTGGTGATTTATCTGCCATTGCCGCATCCAGCCCTGACAAGTCATTACTCAACTCCATTGTTTCTTCTGTATCTTCAGGATCGTCCTTCCTCACTCTGAAATATGTGTCCTCAATATCCTCTTTAATGTCGCTTGAATTGCATTCTGTGATGGACATGTCTAAAGCAACATCATTACCATAACGGGCCTTTGCATCTGAATTTTTAACTTCATCTTCAACCGGGAAAAACAATTTCATCTCCATGTTAGTAAAGATGTTTGATTCATCGGGATTCTCTAGGTGTTTACGTTCTGTTGCATTTTAATGTCATCAGTGGACACAAATTTTGCTGTACTTACCAATCAGTAATTGCAATGAAGGGAATGAATGAGTACTTACCATCCGAACCGCAATCTACAAACATCTCAGGTTTCATTGAAGAAACAATGTTCAGTTTGCTGCAGTTATGAACTTCCCAGGAATCATCATCTTTGATTTCAGGAAAATGTAAAGCATTTGGTTCCTCTGTCTCCGGGTTACAATTCTTCCTTTCAGCCAAACGGAGACTGGTTCACACCTGAATTGTCAATACCATCCAGCTCTATGTCAGTTTTCATGGGCCCCACAATCATCAGACTTTGCTCCAACAATTTCTTCCAAGGTACCATCATTACATAATTAAAACCTCCGGAATTGGTTTGGCACCCATCTCTTTCCTCCCTTGTAACTGTATCATGATCATGAAAAAGTAAACCCAGCAATTAGTCACCTCCTCTCAAGGATGAAAAGTTTACAACCTTCGTGTATAGAAGATGAGTCGTGAAAGTTAAAGGCTCAATGCAATTAACAACTATACTTTCGCATTCAGTAGAGATTTCAGTTCCCACCACATCGATATCATCCATAGCTTGTGAATGTTCTTTGTCTGCTTTGCCACGGGAAAAAGAAAAAGTTGAGTCATATAATTTGAAACAAAAGTAGATAGAGAGGTGATGTACAGTTAGTTAAAAAAAAGCAACTGCATCCAGTCAAAACTTTCAGTATTTGAAATATTTGAATTCCTACTGATTTCAACCTTACTACAAGGCGTATCAGCAGATGATGAGATATCTTCCTCTTCAACACCATGAAAAGATCTCTGTTGAGAAACAATTGCTTTTTCACCATCCAAGACCCCAGCTTCTTCAATGGTGAAGGAAGTGTCTAATTGTTTTGTTGCATCACTATCCTTTCTGTCTGGATCATCAACTTTTGTTCCAGATTGAGGATAGTACTGTTTAATTGCTCCAATGTGCCAACCAACGAAATGTTATCCGCAGTTGACATTAAACCATCTATTTCGAAGGAAGAGCTACGATTATGTTCAAGTCCAACTTCTTCACCTTGATCATCAAGATCATCATTGTTCTCAACTTCCATTTTATAGGTGCATTTGCTATCTCTTCTGCATATTCAGTGCTGGGAACCTCAGAAGCCTTAGTTTCTTGAAATATTGGATCTGTGACTTTCATATTGGGGTCATACAACTCTGCATCCCATTGCCGTTAGTGCAGTCAGTAAGCTCGACTTTCAGGGGCAATATTGCTATTTTCTGCGATGTTATCTTCCTGTACATCTGTTTCACCGCTCACACTGATTCCATTGCTATCCATGGTTGCAGCAAAGCCAATAATAAAAGGATGATCAACACCTCTTTCACCACTAGCATTCATGTCTCCATCCACCAGCACATGATCAAAAGGGTTCATTGAAAAAGATTCCTCCGGTGGCAAAGCTTGAGTGGCAGTACTAAAAGTTATGAACTTCTCTGATTTCAGCACCTTGATTCAGAGTTTGACTTTCATCCACTGCACCATTGCATGTTGAGGCAAGGAATTTGCTGAAATTCATTTCTCATATCCATGGGAATTGCCTCACATTTTTCTTGCATGTCATTGATGGCATGCAGGACAGCCGTTGACGGGCAATATCTCAATACAAAGTCCTGTCAGTCAGAAAGAAGAAAAGTCATTGATAGACATCAGCGTGATGTAATTTAAGTTCTATCACTTTGTTCATCGACGATCAAGCAACAGTATGGTGTATTTTAACAAAAAAATGGAAAATCTTATTGTACTGGCATTGTGGATAAACATCAGCGTGAAAAGCACTTTCTAATATATCATTACCCTTTTCTGGTGAAACAGGATATGCTCCTTCATCTAATATGTTTCTCCTGTTTCACCAGAAACATTATCAAAGCTTCCATGTGATACGTCTAATTTTTCATCTTTTGCACATTGAGTGTCATTACTTTCCAAGAGTGGATGATAAATGGCATTTGCCCCGTATTTTCCTTCTGAGCTCGGATCAGTAATCTTTTTTCCGCTGACAACTTTTCAGTATTTATTGTGTCTTCATTTTCCACCATTTTCACATTTTCTTCATTGTTTAGCTGACCAGGCACTGCACATCCTGCATTGGTCAGATCAGTTTCAACTCTAAGTTGTACCCGTAAGTGTATGGTAAAAAAACTCAATTAAATATCTGCCTTGATCTTAATATAAATAAAACCCTCTTATCGGCGTTCAATATTCTGAAAAGAAATGATAAAAAGTGAAATGTACAGGTACCTTGGACATCTTTGCTGCGTACTTGAGGTCTAAGGGGGCTTATCAAATCTTTATCGTGACTGCTTAAGCTCCATTGCATTGCCGTTACTGGCTTTTCAACAGTGGCTTTACTCACTTCATTAGTCTCAACTGAACTCTCAGTTTGTACTGTTCCAATTCCAGAAGAATCATTGGCTCCTGTTTCTTTGCTTTCTTCAAGGAAACTTCAGATTCCTCTGTACCAACACTTTCACAGGATTCATTCTTGTGATCCCTGAAAACTACCTCCTGAACTGGTTCAGTAGCAGTTATGCTGATATCTTCAAATTGCATTAAATTCTGATCCTCTAGTGCAGCACTTGTGTCCTCTTTAACTTCAATTTTGTCACTTTCCCAGAAAACTTGCTCCTGAGCTGGTTCAGCAGCAGTTATGTCGGTATCTTCTAAGTGTATTGAACTGTGGTCTCCTTGAGCAAGAATCGTAACCTCTTTAACTTCATCTTTTTCACTTTCCCAGTAAACTACCTCCTGAGCTGGTTCAGCTGCAATTGTGTTGGTATCTTCTAATTGCAGTGAAATCGGATCCTCTTCAACAAGACGTGAGTCCTCCTTAACTTCAATTTTGTCACTTTCCCAGACAACTACCTCCTGAACTGGTTCAGCAGCAGTTATGTTGGTATCTTCTAAGTGCATTGAACTGTGATCCTCTGGAGCATGATTTTTGTCCTCTTTAACTTCCATTTTGTAACTTGTATAGTTAACAACATTTTCAGTCCTTGATGATGATTCTAAATCCAATACTTTCTCCAGTTTCAACTCATTTGATGTTTCACCTGCAAATATCAATCACAAAGTGTTAAATTAAGAAATCAACATGATATTGTTAATTATGAAATCATAAACAAACTCACCAGCAAATGTTGTTTGGTTGACTGAAAAGTAAAAATCAGCAAGATAGGTCGTCCCCGTAGAAACTACTTTGTTAGGATTGCTTGCAACTTCAACCAAAGCATCCTCAAGAGAACCTGTTTTATTTAAGGACAGAAACGGTTGATTTTTTATTTCACCCATAATGATATCATCCTGAAGCTGTTTCTCCTTTTCATCCTCCACCAAACTGATAGTCATCTCAGCACTGCATAATTTATCTTGAACCGAAATGAAGAAAAAAATCAGAAATGGTCTCACAGAATTTTATGTTCTAAACTGCATATAACTAATAAAAAAATGAATTCCGCACACCTGGGCCTTGTGGTACAAGTCCATCTGAAGTTCTGCGATTAGCAGTATCACTTCTTGATCTACACTTCATTCCTGTAGTGTTTGGTGTACCATTTATTGCAGCAGCAACGTCAATCGCAGTTCTATGTTCTTGCTTTCAGCTTTCACAGAACTCTCTGTGAGTATAATTTGTTCTCCATTAGATAACATATTAGCACTCAGTTTTTCAGATGTCTTCAAAGGAGTTCCTGATCCTCTCTTCAAACCAATACTTTCACCAAGTTCATTCAGGAGATCATTGAAAATTACCTCCTCAACTGAGTCGGCAATAGCCATATTGGCATTTTCTAATTTCCCTTTTATTTGGTCTTCCACAACTGGAGTACTGATTCCTTCAGCATCCAAATTATAGTTTATAGAGTTCATGTTTCCAGAAGGTTCTTGCATCTCCAATACCTTCTTAAGCTCCATACGACTTGAAATTTTGCCTGCAAATTATCGAGCACCGAGTAACTACGAAATTTGAGCTTTTACAGTTTATTTATAGCATCAAAAGCACATCAAGTCACTCACCAGCATGGTTAGCAGAAGAAAAAACATCAGCCAGAGAAGCTATCTCAGAACAAACGGCTTTGCTACCTCTGTTTTCAGAACCTACCATTCTAGATTCAACCAAGTTAGAATCATCAACCGTGCCTGTTCTATTTGAGGACAGGGAAGACTCATTTTCAAAATAATCATCATGTATCTTTTTCTCTTCAGCATTTTTCACCAATCCAGTATTCCCCTCATATACTAATACAGATTCATGAATACAGTGTTCATTTCCTGGATTTGGATCTTCACACCTTTCTTGATCAAACATCCCTCTTCCTGCTGCATCAGCAGCTTCAGCCCTGCACATATCTTCAACTGCAATGAAGAAAAATAAGACCAAAAAAGCAAACCGTGAAAAATTATGCAATCTATAGAACTTGTACCTATAGAAAAGTAAAGAATTCACACACATTTGTTTCCTGGTGCAGGTCCACCAAATGGAGTTCCTGAGGTAACAGTGCTGCTACAAAAGCTCTGCTGGATTTCAGGTATCTTTTGAGCATCGGTTTCAGCAGTAGCAGAATGAGATTGTGCACTACTCTCTTGATTTTCAGCTATGTGAGACATCAGTAGCAGTCATTTCTTCAGCTTTCTTCAGGAAATTTTTTAGTTCACTCTTCAAACCAGTAATTTCACTAGATCTATTAATGTCAAAACCTTCCTCCTTGACAGATTCAGCAGCAGGGACATTGGTATCTTTTAATTCCACTATGATCAGAGCCTCTCCCGAAGGAGTTCTGCTTATAGCATCGGTCTCATCATCACTCGCGAAGTTAGTGTTTTCACCAACTGGTAGCTCTGTCTCCAATGCTTTCTCCGATTGAAGGAAGGCAGAGATTGCTCCTGTGGGCAGAACGAGAAACAAAATTAACATAATATAGTTTTTTTATGAAATCAAAACGGAATTCACTCACCACTCACCTGTGAGATCTCTTTGATCAGCTAATGAATGACCATTGTCTCTAGAAGTTATCTCATCCATGTTGATAACATTACTTTCAAACTCTACCAGCCTAGATTTAACCCCATTAGAGTCTGTAATAGCTCCCCTTTGGTTTGAAAACCAAGTTGAGGAATGGTGATTCATTTCACTGTCAGCAGCATCAACCTGGACCTCACTTTCCACAAGGGCTCTATTCTCCTTCAAAACAACCAAAGATTCATGTGAAGAATGTGCGTCCAGTAAATTTATATCTTCCTTCATTTCTTGATCAGACACTTCATTTCCTGCAACATAGCATTTTTGAGCCCTAGCTATTTTATTTTCAAGATAGTCAAACAAATGAATTCAAGAATAAAAAAAATCATTAAGGATTAAATTTTTAAAACAAAACAAAAACAGAACATAAGAGAGAGTTGGGAATTTGGCCCACCATGGCTTTCGGCTGGAAAGGTTATCAGAGAAGAATCCACTCCTTGACTGCCTTTGCTTTCACGTTTCAGCTGTTTGAAGTCCGACCAGTTAACATCATCCAATACATGTTTTATTGACAGTCTGACTTGACATGCAATTCACTTCACTCTCAACATTGCCGCCGCCATTGACTAAATTCTCTACGTCATCTTCTACTATGTTGCTTTCCTTCATAAACCGCCACAGATTTGTGAGCAGACTGCTGCTTTTCTTGGTCTTTAGAAGAGCCTACCAACTTCACAGGTGATGCAGTAATAGTTTCCTCCATATTTTCAGCAGAATCCTTTCTCCATGTTAAGAAATGTAGGAGAGGCCTCTGCAAATCCACACTGCTTTGCTCCAGAATTCCTTCTCAATTCCTTTGCTTTGTTAGAGCATGCATCACCACTGTTGACAACCTGTTTGCTAAAGTCCAAATCAAGATTATTTTTATCTCCTGCACATTCTGACAACAAATTGCACATCCTTTCCAGCTGGTAATTCTTCAGGAGATGGAAGACTCATTAGGTGCAGCTTCCTCTTCTACAATCTCCATTCTAGACTTGCTTTGTCGTTCTTCTTGACGCCTTTGGCTGTTGAGTTAGAAGGTGCACATAGGCACTTTTAGAAGTAATATGTCTGGATCTTCTTTGGGGTTTCTGTTTCATTGGATGATGTTCACGAGCAGAAGTTTCTTCTTCTTCCAAAATAGGCTCTTGCACTTGCTGCTTAACTCCCTGATCACTTTCGGCAACAGCAATTTGATCTTCCTTATTTGTCAACTCAGCAGCTGGAGCAGTAAGAATCCGGTCTTGCGCCTGCCCTTCCTCCAGGGGGCTTGGTGTTGTGAAGTCACGGCATACTTGGCCCTATTAACCTCTCCATCTTCCACAATAGCATCCAATTCTTCGGTCGTGCCTTTCCCTAGAAATGGTGCTATTAAGTGCTCCATTTCACCAATATCTTCCTTATTTGCCAACTTGACAGCTGGAGCAGTAATAATCAGAGTCTTGCGCCTGCTCCTCCTCAAGGGAACTTGCTGTTGTGAAGTAACCGCATACTTGTCCCTCTCAACGTCACTACATCTTCCAGAATAGCTTCCAATTCAGCAGTCCTACTTCGTTTTCTGGTCTCATCTTTTGGAAATTCTCCCTTATTTCCCCCTTGCCACTCTGAAATACACCAGAATTTTGCCTGGAAGAATGTCTCAAACATTCTGGCGGTTCCACGAGTGCAACATGTCTTTCAGATTTTCTTGAACCTTTGTTACCTGAGCATCAATTTTCACAGAAGCAACACTTCCATCACTATCTTTTTCTGAATTGCGTTTTGTTCGTCTCAGGGACTTCTCTGTTTCATTTCCATCCTTTACCTCAACTATTTTAACTTCATTTTTAACCATAGAAATTTCATCTTTGGATTGTGCCCTAGACTGCCGTGTCACCCTAGAAACAACTTCAACCTTTTCCACGTCACTGTTGAATGCCACACCCGGATCTCGTTTCTAGCATTCCTCGTTGATTGCTTTCGGCCATTATTGCCTTCTGAACTTCATCCAACAGATGAACCTCGTCACTTCCTTTGTCGTTCATTATCTTCTTTGAATCTTCCCGAGACACATTCTTCCTACTTCTTAACTGTCTCCCACTAAACCCACCAGTAACCTTATAATGACCATTCTTGATATCTTTCTGACCCAATTCTAAACCCTCCGAATCACCCATATTAGCCACACCTTGGCATCTTTAACCTTCTTGCCCCCTCTCTCCCTCTTTCGCCCAGCAGGAGGCGAAGAAGCCATGTGTATTTCTTCTTCAACTGCAGTTTGCATTCTGGACCTTGTGACTCTTGCTTGGCAGCCTTCAAACTTTTTAATTTCTTCACTTACAGTATTTTCAAGCACCTGGGCAGGATATTGGACAATGTTTGCCTCCTAGACCTTCTTCTAGGGCCTATAGACAGAAACCTCATACTCAATGGTTTGATTGTCAGGACTAAACCTGACTTTCTTTATCTGCTTTTTGACAGCATTAGCTTTATCTTCACTCAATATTTCTTCTGGATTAGAGATCAACTCTGCTGACGAAACAGGATCTTCACTTTCCTGTTTAAAACGGGGGGAACAAATAAAATACCTGAGTCACTTAAAATATAATTATTGATTGAAATCATTGAACCACAGATATTTATTGTGCTACTTGCTTCTATTTTTTTTATCTCCAAAGGAAATCAATTATCGGAAAAGAGAGAAAATTGTTTAAACTTTAAAGCTAACAAAATCTATCCATTCGTATTGTTTTTGTCCATAAAATTTAAATTGACAGTCTAATCAAGCGGTTCAAAAACATTGTTTCCTCTTTACTTTGGTTTTTTTCTTTTGCATAAATGAAGGCCAGTAATGAAAAGTAATAAAAATGTGTGTTTAAACTTCTAACTTGCCTTGCTTAAGAGCAATAAAGCATAGAAAAGAAATCACATCACCAAAATTTAGAATTCAATGCTTCCCGTTTAAAATTACTTTCAGATCTATCGATCTAAAGAAAAGCATTGGAGAAACTCAAAACAGTCCGTCTCTACATAATCTAAACAAGTTACTTGAAACTCTTCACATGATCGAGATTTATCCTTATTCATAGATTCGGTTCCCAATTGACAGAATGAATTTTTTCTAGGAAAATATAATGAAAGAGATGGTACCTTAAATATGGAAGCCAAACGATCCGCCATTTCACGGTTGGTTAAATTGGCAGAGAGGCCGTGCTTTTTACACAAAGCCTGCATTTGCTTTCTCTTCATGCCATGAAAATCCATCTCTTAACAATAATTGAGAAAAGAAATTCAAATGGAAATATAACGTGGTAAGTTAATTCTCGAGACCAAAACGTGGTAAGTTAATTTCATCAAATAATTTCTTGTAAGCTCGGTCCAAGTACGGTGGTGGTCCAGGTATTTCGGAGTTGCGATGGGGTTTTGATTTGAAGTTTATTGAATATCGTCACGTGGAGGAATATCTTAGCTTGGGAAGCGGTAAAGGTGGGTTACATCTCATGGATCATTGCTTGCTCTTTCACTCTCCCTTCCTACTTGTGCTTTGTTCATTGCTTTAGTTTAATAATAGTATGTCGATTTGATTAAGTTTTTTTCTTGTATTATGTTCAAAAGAAATTAAACATGGTAAATTATGTGAATAATATATTTTTTAATATAACAGATTTGACCATCAATTTAAAAATTAAAGATAAATGATTTTTATATTATCGATTGTTTTGTTTAAGTTTATATACTGTTACTTTCGTTAACTCTTTAATGGATATGTGACATGGGTAAACTATTAGAACAACAACAACAACAACAACGAAACCCTATTCTCATATGCAATGGGGTAAGGGAGAGGTAGGGTAGTAGGCTGCCCCCAACGCCTGGTTGAGAGCAGCTTCCGGGAAGACCTCCGGTAGTCATAAAAATTACAAATAAAGATAAATGTAATGCATATAAATAAATAAATAATACATAGTTGACCATTTTTTTTATTTTATAAGCAGTCTTATGCGGTCTGTAATAGGAAGTAATCCCTGCAAATAAATCTCTGCATAAAAATCTCTGCAATATAGACAGAAACGTAAGATCCGACTAAATTTAAAAAGAGAAAACATGAAGAGAATGATACAAAGAAGTCAATGATAACAAGCTACGAGAAGGAGTAAAGTCAAATGTGTTAAAACCTAAATTAAGGCAACACTACTCCGCTACCCTAGATCTAAGCATTCATAAATTCCAATGACAGAAACGTGAAGAAAGTAGAAGTCAGGGAAATTACTACAAATGCATTAAAAAGAGGACATAGATGTTATAACCTATGATGTGACCCGTACTACTCGGCTACCTGGTCTTAAGTCTCCATACTTTCCTATCAGAGGTCATGTCCTCGGTAAGGGCTAAATCCCTCAAATCAGATCTCAAGCAGTCTTCCCACTTCTGCCTTGGTCGTCCTCTCCTTTGGCACCGTCGACTGTAATCAACTCTACCCCTGATCGATCCGACGGTTGTCGCCTAAGGATATGCCCAAACCATCGTAGTCTTCCCTCATTTTTTCGGATACATGCACCACCTCCAAGGACGTCCTAATAGCAGAGTTTGGTATCATATCCCACAGTCCTACACATGCCCATGAAGCATTTCATTTCTACGGCTCCATCCTCCTTACGTGATCCTTCTTGATTGCCCAACATGATCCATACAACAGTACTGGTCTTATTGACATTCTATAAAATTTTCCCTTAAGTTTTAGAGGCACCATCTTGTCACACAAAACTCCAGTAGCAGGCCCTCCACTTTAGCCATCCCGCCTATACGGTGTGTCACGTCATCATCAACACCCCATCTTTATGATCATAGACCCTAGGTGCTTGAAACAATCCTTTGAGGGGAGTTTCCTATGCAAACTTCTACATCTTCATCATTTTGTTTCCCACTGAAGTTTGAGCATAAATACTCTGTATTTTCAATATTGATCCTTAGACCTTTTTCTTCAAAGCAGTCTTCCAAGTAGCCAGTTTATTATTCAGCTCAGTTTTTGTTTCAGCAACTAGGACAATGTCATCGGCAAAAAGCATACACCATGGAACACCGTCTGGTGTCGCACAATAGATGTCGTCCATAATCAAGGCGAAGATGTAAGGGCTAAGAGCCGACCCCTGGTGGAGTCCGATTTCCACTGGGAATGCCTGGGTGTCGCCAACTGTAGTCCTGACGTATGTAGTAGATCTACAGTACATATCACGAATCGCCCAGATATAAGTAGTTGGGATCTGTCTTGTTTCTAAGGTCTTCCAGATCGTTTTGCGGGGAACACTATCATACGCCTTCTCAAAGTCAATGAACGCCATGTGAAGATCTATATTTTTTCCCTACATTTCACCATAAGCCGTCGAAGTAGATGAATCACCTCCGTAGTAGACCTGCCTGGCATAAAGCTAAATTGGTTTTCCGAAACCTTAGTAACCTATCTCAACCTAGCCTCTATCACTCTCCCATAGCTTCATGTATGGCTGAGTAGTTTATACCTCTGTAGTTGCCACATCATTGGGGATCTCCTTTATTCTTATAGATTGGTATCACCGTAGACCTCTCACTCTGGCATCTTGGCAGTCTCTAAATAATATTAAGATATTGGTAACCACTGAACTCCCTCTTCTCTAGGACCAACCACACAGTGATAGGAATTTGTTCTGGACCGACAGCTTTGTCCCATATCATCTTTCTAAGAGCCATTTTGACTCATCAAACTCCTACTTGTAGGGCAGTCATTGGCCCGTAGATGATGGTCGGCTGACCCTCAACGGTACTATCTCTACAGGGAGAGACACTGTCATTAAGCCAAAGAAGTAACTACCCCAAACTCTCTTAATATCATCATCTTCATTTTGATCTTACTGAGTTAGGTCACATTCAAGTTCACTCTTTCAAGCTCTCCACTATCTCTTATCCTACCCCTTCTCCGCTATACTGTCGTATAGTTTATTCAAATAAAAGACATCCATTATGGTTTACCCATCTCTTCCACCCCGGCAAAACCTTTACAGAACTTTTTCTCATTTTCTTTCCACGACAGACTGTATCTATGATTGCATATCGTTCGAACCTTGTTATGAAGCCTTCCTATGGGAACCAAAAGGTCCAAAACATAAACTCACCGCCAAAAGTTCATCGTTAGCTCGGAAAGTAACCTTGAGTTTGTTCTAGTCTTTCGCGGAAGAGATGATGGTGACTGGGTTCCTCTAACATGATCCCACTGCCTTTATTATTTCAACTATTTTTCGTTCTGCTTGAATCGAGATAAAGCAGCCACAAAGGTGATACCTCACCCGCCAAAAGTTCATCGTTAGCTCGGAAAGTAACCTTGAGTTTGTTCTAGGTCTTTCGCGGAAGAGATGATGTGACTGGGTTCCTCTAACATGATCCCCACTGCCTTTATTATTTCAACTATTTTTCGTTCTGCTTGAATCGAGATAAAGCAGCCAAAGGTGATGTTCCCATAAGGAATTTGAAGTTGATGTAGACTGTAAAGAAGTGCTTTATATGTTCAAATAATATCGGCTAATGGCTATGGATGTAGAGACTTGAAAGTGGGAAGAGAAAATGGTTGGGTATATATATTGGAAGGAGAATGAAGAGTCAAAGAATGAACTGATAAAATTATTGAAAAAATGACACGTAAAAAGGGAAGACCAAAGAAGAGAAAAAGTACACAAAATGCTAGAGAAGAATGACTGTACTAGTGGACGTGTTATAAAAGTTGACACCTTATAGGGGCACTCAATAGTAGATGCTGGTGAATTGGCTGGGAGAAAGACGAAAAAGAAGTGAGAACAAACCATAGCTCTTCAACAACAACAACACAATCTGCAAGGTTTATTCAAGTCCAGTAACTACTTTTGTAGCTTAATTGCCACTGCATTATGTTTTATCTTCATTATTTTTGGTACCGAAACAATCAAACGTTGAGGTGAGTGTTATTGTATGAGATATAGGGAGTAGATCCTTTATATATTGCAGTGAAAAAGAATTTAGTTCAGTTAAGATTACTTGAAAATTGTTGAGATACATAAGGAAGCTAAGGGTACTATCCACGTGCAAAGTAGGCTGTTAGGAAACTATTCTAGAAGCAGTAGTTTGTTAAAGTTTGTTATGAACCTGTTATAAGAAGCTAAGGCTAGGTGATGTATAACTCACGCTTAATGAAATATATTTCCTGATATTCTGATATTCAATACACAAGTCTATATTTTTCTGGTTAACCCCTTTCTCAACATGGTATCATTCGCCAAACGGTCCTGACTTTTTCGTCCGTTGCATGGAGTTCTTCGTCCTTCTCCATTTCCGCCGGCTTCCATTTCTACCATCGATTCCCTCAATTTGCTCTTTCTCAACACTCACGAACTTTTCCATCGTCTCCTAAGTCGCTGTTTTCTTTCCCACAAAACATGGCACCGAAAGCCAAGAAGAAGCCTGTAGTGGATAAATCTTCGGTGTCGACAGAGAATATACCGAAGGCTAAGAAAAAGATCTCAAAGGACAGCGAGGAAAAGAAGAAAAAGAAGATCAATAAGAGCACCAAGGAGGAAAAGAAGAAGAAGAAGATCAATAAGAGAACCGAGACTTACAAGATCTACATCTTCAAGGTGTTGAAACCAGTTCATCCGGACATTGGGATCTCGAGAAAAGCCATGGGGATTCTGAACAGTTTCATCAATGATATCTTTGAGAAACTGGAACAGGAGGCTTCGAGATTGGCTAGGTATAACAAGAAGCCGATGATTACGTCGAGGGAGATCCAGACGGGGTTAGACTGGTTTTGCCTGGTGAATTGGCTAAACACGCGGTCTTTGAAGGAACCAAAGCGGTTACCAAATTTACCAATTCTTAGATATATTCTTGTTCTTTCAATTTCCTCTTAATTTGATATTGCAATTAGATTAGTATATTCGCTAAAAAAATGTCAAGGAACCTTGTAAAAGAGGATGAAGAGGAAATAAATGAAGGCGAATAAGAAGAACGAAAGGAAGCATCGACACTTTCGATTCAAGTGAACGGAAGGAAGCATCGACACTTTCGACTCAAGAAGAACGAAATGAAGCATCGGCACTTTCGATTCAAGTGAACGGGAGGAAGCATAAGCACTTTCGATTTAATTGTTCATCTTTTCATCAAGAAGGTTGAATGTTAGAAATTAGTTGTAATTAGTTTTTTCATCAAGCAACATTTGAAGTGATTTGTGGAAATA